TCTAAGCTTCCAGTTCTCTCTTTTGATTTTATATTGGAGTGGCCAATTGCTTTTGTCTTCAGGAGTTCCCACATAGGCCCAAGTCAGATGATCAGATGCTCTCAGATTTTCTCCTAAGGTCTGGATCCCTCCAGGAAAGATTTTGGCCTCAGGAATTTGGGGGTTGGACTGGCCTGGGAGCCTGGCCCAGGAAAGATGCTAGTCTAGGGCAGCTGGTGGCTGTGCCACCCAGAGATGCAAATGAAGATGGGGGCAGGAAGCAGCCCCAAGGGCTCTTGGGGACTGCACTGAGGAGCTGGGTTGGTCTGGATGCAAAGGATCAGGAAACAGTGGTGGTTTACCCAGTGTCTGGGGTGCCAAGACAAGGAATGGGACAGGACCCAGGCTAGGAGGAGAGACAGGCGAGGGAGATGGGAGGGTGAATGAGGCTGGGGGAGTCAAGGCGCGAAGGGTGCCATATCGACTTACCCCGGAGAGGGGCCTGCAGGTTGTGCAGGCCCAGGGAAGCAGAGGGAAGGCCATTTCTCTTTCTTAATGAGAACACGGGGAGTCATCTATTAAAATTTTTATTTTATGTGTATGTGTGTAGTGCCTGCATGTGTGGAAGTGCACGCATGTTGTCATGCAATGCCCACAGAAAAGAAGGAGTCAGATCCCCTGGAACTGGAGTTACTGAGGGTTGTTAGCAGCCATGTGGGTGCTAGGAATCACATCTGGGCCCTCTGAAAGGGCAACCAGTGCTCTTAACCTCTCAGCCATCTCTCTGGCTTTTTAAAAAAATTTTAAAAATGCTTAAAAAAATGTTTTATTATTTTTATTTTATGTGTATAAGTGTGGTTGCGTGAATGTATGTAAGTGTCATGCAATGCCTGTGTAGGTCAGAAGAGGGTGTCAGATCCCCTGGAACTGGAGTTACAGAGGGTTGTTAGTTGCCGTGTGGGTGCTGGGAATGGAACCTGGGTCCTCTGTAAGAACAATCAGTACTCTTAACATTGAGCTATTTCTCCAGTCTCAAACAGTCAAGTCAACTTTTTACTTCAGTAAAATATCATGTGACATTCCATTGTTAGTAGAAATTTATATTTCAATAGCTTCATTGTATTTTATTTAAATTTAGTCAATTGTTTTGTATAATATATAAGATTTTATAATTTTTAGTTTTTTTGAGACTGGGTTTCACCATGTTGCCCAGGCTGGCCTCTAATGATATGCTTCCTCCCTCAGCCTCCTGAGGACTGCTATGATAATTGTATACCATTATGCCTATATATATATTTTTTAATTTATTATTTTTATTTTATGTATATGAATGTATTGCCTACATGTGTATAAATGCACCCCTGTCATGCAATGCCCTCAGAGTTAGAAAAGGGCACTTGATTACCCTGGAACTAGAGTTATGAATGATTGCCAGCTGCCATGTTAAGTGCTGGGAATTGAACCTGGGTCCCCTGAAAGAGCTGAGACCTGGTGCACCTAACCACCAAGCCATCTCTCCAGCCCCATTATGCCTTCTTTTTTTTGGTCTTTTTGAGACAGGGTCTCCCTGTAGCCCCAGCTGTCCTGGAACTCACTATATAGACCAGGCTGGCCTTGAACTCACAGAGATCTGCCTGCCTCTGCCTCCAGAGTGCTGGGATTAAAGGTACGCACCATCATGCCTGGCTAAATATTCCTAATTTTATATTGGAATAGACAAGTCATTTTTATTATTCTGACAAAGTCAACATTAAGCATTTGAAAATCATTATCAATAGGCTTACAGTCAGTGAAAAATAGAGTAATATCAGCATTCTGATTAAAAGACAGGATGTGTTCTACCAGCTATCTAAAGGAAAGAACAGTTTGTAGATGAAGTCATGAAGAAACCTAACTAAATGGAATTTCTCATTCTCCAGCACTCTTGAAGATACGGGGCATAAATGTACACAAACCAGTCACCCCGGCGGTAGGAGATGGTGCAAATGGGAATGTCCGACTGACATTTATAAAGAAATGCAAAGCTGGGCATGGTGGCTCACATCTGTAATCCCAGTGCTCAGGAAGTTTTGAATTTTGAATTCAAGGTCAGCCCAGGTTACATGGCAAAACCATGAACCCAAAAATTAAACACCAAAAACAAAAATGAAAAAGAGGAGGAGGAAGAGTAGGCGTAGGAAGAGGAGAGGGACAGCAGAGGCATAGAGTGCAAACTCACCTTGTCAGAATCTCTAGACTTTTCCAGAGACCTGATCACATTTTCAGTACCAAGCAAGCTTTCTTCTAGTTTCTGAATTTTTGCCATCTAGAAAGGAAAAACAAAAACAAAACACGTTTTAGGAAAATAATTAAATGACATGCATTAAAAAACAGACCAACCGTGCTCGCTTCGGTAGAACATATACTAAAATTGGAACGATACAGAGAAGATTAGCATGGCCCCTGCGCTTTGTATTTATTTTCTATTCCATACTTTTTGCCCATTTTTTTTTTCCTTAGTCCATTCCTTTAAATAAATCTGTTGGAGATGTCAAAAAAACAAAAAATAACAACAACAACAACAAAAACCAGACCAACCAGCTAGGCGCATGCTTGTAATCCCAGCACTTGGGAAGCAGAGGTATGCGGATCTCTGTCAGTTCAAGGCTAGCCTGGTCTGCATAGTGAGTTCCAGGAACAGCTGTTTGAAAAAGACCAAACAAAACAAAACAAAACAAACAAAAACCAAGCTGACATCTGTTTTTCACATTAAACAAATCTATGGTAATAATAAGGAAAGGATTATGATTTTTTTATTTTTTTTTTTTGAGAAAGGATCTCACTATGTAGTCCTGGCTGGCATGGAAATTGCTATGTAGACCAGGCTGGCTTCAAACTCAAGAGATCTGCTAGCCTCTGCCTCATGAGTACTGGCACTAAAGGTATGCACCACCATCCCCAAAAGGACAATGATTTTTCTGAACTCTGTCAGGTAGCACCAGTAGCAACAATTATAGCCACTTGGGAATTAGAAAGAGTTCAAAATAATAGAACCAGGGCAGGTGAGATGGTCAGAGGGTAAAAGTGCTTTCTTTGTAGTCCTAGAGATCTGCGTTGGATCCCTGGAGCCCACATAAAGGTGGAGGAAGAGAATTGACTCCACAACATTGTCCTGTGACCTCTGCACAGGCACCATGGCATGTGAAACCTCTGCCTACTCCTGACCCCCCAACAGTGATAAATGAAATTCAAAAATTCTAATCGAATTAGCCAGATGTGATGATGTAGGGTGGTGATCCTAGCAAATGGAAGGCAGAGGCAGGAAGATCTTGATTTCAAGGCCAACTTGGACTACAGAGTGAATTTCAGGCCAGCTTGAGCTGCACAGTGAGACCCTGCCTCAAAAAACCAAGGGCTAGTAATGTACCTCAGTGGCAGTACGCTTGCCTAGCATGCAAAAGGCCCTAGGTTTGATCCCTAGAACTATAAAACAAAAACAAAAAGTAAAAATTTTGATTTTGTTTGTTTTGGCGCTTCTGTTTTTTTTGAGACAGGGTCTCCTCTGTAGCCCCAGCTGGCATGGAACTCGTTATATAGACCAGGTTGGCCTTGATCTCACAGAGATATACCTGCCTCTTCCTCCCAAGTGTTGGGATTAAAGGCATGCACCTTCACACCTGGCTTTATCATTTTACTACCAATTTCTAACACTGAAAGTTGAAGCAGTTATATTAAAAAAATTCTTTGGATGCTTTAGATATCAGAAATAAAAGTTGTAAGATTTAAATTCTAGACTCAGAATAGTAGGAAATTTACCTGCTGCTCACATTTGGTCATTTCTTTCTGCTTCTCCTGGTGCAGAGTCTCCAGAACCTTTAAGATTTCTCTGGAGAAGAATTAATTGAAAACAAACTGAGTGCATTAGTTCAGAAAAAAATTAAATGCAACACAAAAAAAATCTATTAGGCAAACTCTCCGTATTTGACATCACACTCCAATGGAGATCACACAGTGGAATCCATGTGTTCAACAACTATTTAATGAAAAATTATTTCTGTGCCATAATGGTTTATTATTCTTCAGTATCAGTACTGACAACCCAACATACAGCACATAGTATTTATTACCATCTGTGACAGAATGTAAAGTCCATGAGCACAGGGATGTCTCACTTACTGTTTTACTCTAATTGTTCTAGGTAGTCACAGCACAGAGCCTGGCTAGATATGAATAAATGTTAAGTGCCTAGATTTCAGGCACTGTATACCTGGGCCTAAAAAAGTCATAGTAAGAACATAGTAAATATTGCTCGAATAAACAACTTCTCTCTAGAATGATTATAAGATTATTGGACGAGACTCAGGGAGATATAAAGAAAAAGAACTTGGAGAGAGGGAAGAGGAACTTGTTTAGGAGCCAGGAAAGCAAAAGAAAAGCCAGGAAAAAGATTTACAGAGACAGAAATAATTCACCCCTAACTCCCAGCAATAAAAGGAATAGTTACTCAAATATCCTATACAGTGCTTATTTACAGAGGGCCCTGATCTCTGATCACCACCAGCTGGTATCATAGCTAGTTACTAAATGCTTTGAAAAATGAAGTTCAAGACATGGCCATTTATACAAAAGAATTTGTGGCCTGTTTGGATTGTTATAAAAAAAATAATTTCCTGGGGATTTAACCCAGGGCCTCATGCATGCTAGGCAAGTGCTCTACCACTGAGGTACATCCCCAGCTGAAAATAACTCTTTACAGGTTATTAGCAAGAAAAACAAAGAGCTTGGCAATGTGGGCATGCCTATAATCCCAGCACATGGCAGATCAAAGCAGAAGGATTCAAAGTTAGAGGCTAATCTACCCTAGATAGTAAGAACCCATTCTCCAAAAGATAAGAATGTGCTAGTGAACAGTATTCTAATCAATTAATGGAAGGGATTAATAACACTCACTTAGAGCTGTTTTCTTTATCTTCTTCAAATTGTAATGATAATTTATTATTGCGTTCTTTTTCTGCCTCAAAAAGCTCCATCAAATTCTAAAAGACAACCTTAGATTAGATTTGAAGTGACAGTTAACTAGTAACAAGCAGTCAGCAAACATGCCAAGTACCTTCTGTGCAGCAGGCATTGTGGCTAGTATAGGAGGTTAGGGAATGCTTGTGCTTGCCTCACATAGGCGAGCAGCCACAGATCCAGGACACATCACCCATTACCAGCACTGTTCATCACTTACATTCAGATCAGATTTCAGAGTTTCATTTTCTTGTTTGCAGTTTTGGAGGTTTTTTGAAAGTTGGTCAGTTTCAAACTTCATTACTTCTTGTAAGTTATCGTAGGAGTCCTGTAGGCAGGCTTGGCTCTCAAGAAGCTTTTCATTTTCTAACCTTTGACAGGAAAAGTGTTACAATGGTGAATTTAAAAATTTATTTCTGAGTCAGATTATGTAAAGGTCAAGTGTTTCCATTACAGACCATTTATATATAACAAGCTTGGATTGATGTAGAATTCTTAAAAACTTCAATGAAATGTCCTCAGTACTAACTATGGATCCAGAGGACCTAGATGGAAGGGAATGCTAGCGAAAGGCCATCTCTTCCACATCTTCACTCATGTGGTTAACTGACTGGCAATTTATTAGCCAACTCATAAATGGTCACTAGGCTTATCTAGGGGTTTCTATCTAGGCACTGGCCATTAATTGTACATGTTTTTTAAAAAAGATTTATTTATTTTTATGTGTGCCTAAGAGTCTGTATGTGTACCACATGTGTGCAGACGGTTGTGAGCTGCCATGTGGGTGCTGGGAACCAAACCTACGTCTTTTGAAAGAGTATCAAGTGCTCTGAACTGCTGAGCCATCTCACCAGTCCCAACTTCCAAGTTTTGTCAATAGCTCAACTCCAGCGATTTGGGGTTTTTTATTTTAATTTTTTAAAAAAATATTTGTTATTTTTATTGTATGTGTATGAGTGTATTGCCTTCATGCATGTAAGTGCAAACATGTTGTGAAATGCCAACAGAAGTCAGAAGAAGGCATTGAATTCCCCTGGAACCGGAGTTATGGACAGCAGTTAGCTGCCATGTGGGTGCTGGGAATTGAACCCAGGTCCTCTGCAAGAACAGCCAGTGCTGAGGCATCTCTCCAGCCCCAATTCCAGCAATTTGTAACATAGTCTCAAGGCACTAGAAAGACCTTTTTAGGATGGAAAACATGCTTCAATGTAACCAACATAGAAAATAACCTCAAACTATACATTGCCTTTTCAGTTTCATCCTCTCATTTCTGTCCCCAACACACTGATTGCATCACATACAGCATTCAGAGTTCAGCCAAGAAAGAGCAATCTGGCCTCTGAACTATGCAAAGCAGATGTCCTGGTTTACACATATGTTACTAGACAATCTATTTTTTTTTTCTTTTTTTCTTTTTTTTGGTCTTTTTGAGACAGGGTCTCCCTGTAGCCCCAGCTGTCCTGGAACTCACTATGTAGACCAGGCTGGCCTTGAACTCAGAGATCCGCCTGCCTCTGCCTCCAGAGTGCTGGGATTAAAGGCGTGTGCCTAGACAATCTATTGCCTAGACAATCTATTTTATGAACTCAAAGCAGAGCAGCAAATTACAAAGGAGAATGAATTAGTTGCTAAAAGATGAGAGCTAGGGAGAGCAGGGGAACATATATGTGTTCATGGTGTAAAGGGTAAAATTGATACATAGCAGTGTTGTATTCTACCATTCAGAAACATGAACTGCTGAGCTCCTGGGAGAATAAGTAGTCCAGTAAGTAACTCAATGTCAAACCAGAGATGCCAAGAATAATTACATTTGTCCAATGTATTTGAAAAGCTGGGCTGGAGAGATGGCTCAGCAGTCAAGAGCACTAGTTGTTCTTGCAGAGGATCCAGGTTCAATTCCAAGCATCCACATAGTGGTTAACAACTGTCCACAACTCCAGTTCCAGGGTATCTGATGCCCTCTTCTTACCACCATGGATACTGCATGACCCAAGTACATTTACATACATGCATGCAATACACTCATACACATAAAATAAAAATATTAAATATGAAAAAAAGAAAATCTAGGAGAGTTGGACAAGGTGGCAAACACTTTTAATCCCAGGACTCAGGAGGCAGAGGCAGGTGAGTCTGTGTGAGATTTAAACCAGTGAGACCATCTCTAAAACAAAATAAAAAGCCAGAAATCTTTAGGATGGCATTTAAGTTCATAGTTTAGTAGATTCTTTACATTTCGATCCACTTCTATTCTCACGAGTAAATACAAGTAAATTAAGATTCACTGAGATTCATAGATTTAAAAAAAAATTATGCAAAGGTAGTTTGTATCGTAGCGAAGATTTAGATTCAGAAGTTAAAACAATTAGGTATAAGGCAGTGCAATTGTGATAAATTACCAATAAGTTGCTATTTTGCTAGTTCATGCAATGTGAGTTGAGTTTATAATGCTTATACCTCAAGTACTATTGAGTACAACCAACCATACACCTTGAAACAAAACAGAACTACTCTACCTGACGTTGTCCAACTGAAGCTGAACCTGCACGTGTCTTTCAGAAAGCTGGTTTAATTCTTTCTCCTGACTCTCTCTGAATGTACCATACTCCAGTTTGACCAAAGAAAGCTCCTTGTCAGCAGAATGCAGAACTATACGTAGGTCATGCACCTCACTTTTCAAGACTGAAAAACAAAACAAGGTCTCAACAGGTTTCTTTATAGGTCTTTTATATACAGGCAAAATCAATATGATGATACAATTTTAAGCATAGACATAGAAAAACTAGATGGTAAATACTGCGGTATTACTTATGCTCATGCCTCCCAAGTGCTGGGATTAAAGACATGCACCATCACACCTGGCTACATTTCTACTTTTAAAAAAGGTTTAGGTAACCTTGGACCACAGTGGGGTGAGTGGACTGAGTGAGGCCCAGAAACAGCCAAAGTATAACCTGCATGTACTCAGGCTGCAAACAACTGATCTTGATGAAGAATCCCAAGCATCCCTCATCACTGATGAAAAGAGAAATACCTACTTGACAGTCCTAGCAGTGTGTAAGAAAAAATGTGAAAACTCCATTTTGAGAAACTTGGATGAATTCTGACCCGAAACTACATCCAAAGGTAAAGGACTGGGTCCTAACTTTGGCTCATCTGTGCATAGGAATTACAGATCATTGACATTCTAATGAGATATGACTTCTTTGGCACCCAGGTCAGATGTATCGTATAAGATGGATGGGGTTTTTCATATGCTAAGAGAGGTCATGAAGTTGGAGGGGGTGGAAAGGTGAGGGTGGAGATGGGGGAGGGGGCCGGAACATGATCAAAACAAGTATGAAATTCTTGACTCAATAAAAAAAAAAATTATAAAACCTAACTGAATAAATATATAACAACAAAAAAGGTTTATATAATTATTGTATGTATGTGTATGATTGGATAAGTTCATGTGCTTCATGTGTGCACAGGAGACCATAGAGGTTAGAAGAGGGTGTCAGATCCCTTGGAACTAGAATGAGAGTCAGTTGCAAACCGCCATGTGGGTACTGAGAATCAAACCCAGATCTTCCGCAAGAACAGTAGACACTCTTAACCACTGAGCCATCTCTCTAGTCTCCACATTTCTTTTGTTGGTGTTTTGCTTTTTTTGTTTTTGAGACAGGGTCTCTATGACCTCATTCTTGCTATGTAACAAGGCCAACCTTGAACTCCTGATATTCCTGCTTCTACCTCCTGAGTGCTGGGATTATATATGCCATCACACCAAGCTGTTCCAAGATTCCTACTAAAACAGAAAGAGTTAATATTTGTTCTTCATTTTTTAAGTCACTTGACTTTTTTAGATTTTTTCCTAGAGAATATTCATCAAAATTATGAATATGAGGGAAAAAAACCTTGAGAGATTTAACATATTTGAAATGACCTACTCTCAGTCAAAATGCTTTAATATATTACAACTTTCAATATGTGTTAAATACTTCTGGTCTTGTAAGGGAAGTCCAATAGGTAACTTTGAAATTTTTTATTTATTTTTACCCCCTCCAAGGCTCAGGGACTTCTGAGGAAGAGGTTGGTGGAAAGGATGTAAGAGCTGGAGGAAGAGGTAGAATGTTACCTGGAGGCAAGCTATAGTCACATCTCCTTCCCACACTCCTCAAGGAGTCAAGAGGGGAGTCAGTTACCCCTCCCACCCAATCAGTCAACCTTAGCTGCATGTGGGGAAGGGACTAAGGATATACAAGCCAAGAATGCCATAAGGCACCTCTCTCCCCATTTTGTGTGTCTGTCAGGAAGTCACAGGATCTATGTTTGAGTGTGGACTTTCAAGTGCAGCCATAAATGAGGGTGCACACTCTTCCGTGATTAACCCCCACCCTGCGCTCTGTTAGCAAGCCTAATAAACTCATTGGGATTAAAAAAAAAAAAATGAAAAAAAAAAAAAAAAAAACAGAGGTAATGGAAACCTTCAATTCACCAAAGTTGATCGATCCCATGTTGGCAAATCCTTTGGTCTTTGATTTCTTAGTCCTATTTTTCCCCCTTAAACTCATTGTATGCTTCAAGTTATTTCTGGAAAAATGTGTTAAAAATTACCTCTCTGGAATAATAAAAAATACTCTAAAATTAAAAAAAAATTTATTTAACTTTATTTTATGTATATGAGTGTTATACCTAGATGTATGTAAGTTCACCAGTGTTATGCAGTGCCCTTGGAGGCCAGAAGAGGGTGTCAGATACTTTGGAACCGGAGTTACAAGTTATGGTTGTTAGCCACCATATGGGTGCTAGGATTCGAAGCTGGGTCTTCTGCAAGAACAGCCAGTGCTCTCAACTACTGAGCCATCTCTCCAGCCCCTAGGATTACATAACATTAGCTTTACTACAAACTACTGGAAATATCTTTTTGGAGACAGGGTCTCATGTATCTCAAGCTAACCTAGAATTCACTAGGTAGCCAAGGATGACCTTAACTTCTGAACCTCCTATCTATACCTACTAAGTGCTGGCACAACTGGCTTATCTGAAAATGTTTTCATGAAGGGAGAAAGAAACTGAAAAAAACAACAAAACAAAATAAAAAACAGGAATCAAATGATATCCTCATACCTAGAAATAAATTTAAATAATTTAATGCTTTGTCAGTATTAAAGCACTCAAACTTCAAGTTCAAGATACTTCATTTTCCAAAGTTTTAAACTTTGTGTGTGTATATCTCTGTGTATTCTGATCTGCCTATTCATTTGTGTGCATGTTTATGTGGAGGTGAGAGCACAAATTGGGTATCACTCCTAAGGTGCCTTCCACTTTTTGTTTAAGACAAATCTCCCACTGGCCTAGAACTTCACCAAGTAGGCTAGCTAGCTAGCCAGTAAGCGTCCAAGGATCTGCCTATCTCTGTCTCCCATTTAGCCATCCCTGGGTGTAGTCCCTGGACTGATGTGTGCGTGCCACAATGTCCACTTTTTATGCAGGTACTAGGGATCTGAACTCAGGTTCTCATGCTTACAAGTCAAGCACTTTAATAGCTGAGCCATCTCCCAAACGCATAAATAAACTTTACTTGTCATTTATTTTTTGAGTCATCTTGAAAAAAAATACATTCTATAACCTATTATGAATACTTACCACTACCATGGAAATTCAAGTCTCATTGTCTAACAACAAGCAACCAACCCAAAACATAGGGAAAACATTAATAAATGAGTAAAAAGTCACCAGGTTACAGTACCCCAAATTGTGGGAAACTTACAGTCATTCTTAGTCCGAGTATCCTGAAGCTGTTTTTCGAGGACATTCAACTGTGAGAAATGGTCTTGCTGTTGTTTGGTCCAATCACTCCTTTCTGATGAGAAAATCTTTGGGAAAGAGAAAAATTTACTTAAAAAAAAATAGTTAACACTGCAAATCTTTAAAAAAATTTTTTTATTACTATTATTTAATGTCTAGTTTTAAGGTCTCTGACAAGAAGAAACTTGGCTATTCAGGAACTATAATGAAGATGACCAACACAGTCTAGGATCAGTGCAAGAATGTGGACAGGCCATCTTGTTCTAAACAGTCCATTTGTACAACTGACTAAGTGGGTCAGAATTCAGACAATGAAAGTGTGTCTCACCCACAAAGTTAAATAAGGCTTAGTAAGGGCATTTTTTTTGCCTTGTAATGTTTTTTTGTTGAGGGGAGCAAACACACATTTATTAAGGAAAACCAAAAAAGAACTGCCAAAGAGTGGGAGGAACTCCAAGGAAGTAACACCGCATCTCGTAATGCTCTTACTCTGAAGATGTTTCAATGTTTTCTGAGGCTACACCCTGACCCTCACCTCCTGCATTTGTGCGGAATGGTGCTCTAGTTTGTCAACATGCTGTTGAAGCTTCAGGTTTTTATGCTCTTCTTCATCCAACTTGACTTGAAGAACACTCATTTGTTCCTGCAATAGACAAATTTCAGTCATCAGAAATTCATTTAATGGAATTTGCAAACTATTTCTTTTTGATTCAAGAGACAAGAAACCAGTCAGGCATGGTGGCACACACCTTTAATTCTAGCAGAGGCAGAAGCAGGCAGATCTCTGTGAGATAGAGGTCAGCCTGGTCTACATAGCTGGAGTTGCAGGCCAGATATGGCTACAGGGAGATCCTGTCTCAAAAAACAAACAAACAAATAAACAAACAAACAAACAAAAGAAACCAAAGTAAAATAAACTCAACCTCTCATAGGAACAAATATAGCAAAGGCCACTGTAGAAGGCTATTCCGATTATTGCTGATGCTTCAAAATTACACGTGTGTTTAATCAACATGAATACATTAAAACACACCAGAAAGAAGTGATTACAATTAAACTCTGGATTAAACTATAGAGCCCTCTAAAGACCTCTAAAGCCCTCCTAAGAGGTTTCTTCAGAGCTGCATGAGGTTATGTCACCAGAAAGGCCTCTATGCCTGGACAAGGCAAATAATTGAGATTTGGAGTGTTCATTCTAAGTTTTATTGGACAATGGGGAAAAAATTTTACTTATCCATCAAAATTCCAAGGCAATGAAAGGCAACTTATTTGAGACACATTAAACTCTATCTAAAATTTGATCTACAAGAAGATTCTGTCCAACACCTTTAACTTTCTTTAGCAGATATAGCACTATGCCATTTAAACCAGTTCTGAAGCTTGAAGCTAATATGAAACTGGTCATTTTATATGTGAAGGAAACAAACCCCAAAGAGAATAGAAAATAATTTCCTTAAGTTTGAAAAATGAGTTAAAGAACAAGAACAGGACAAATTCCAAGACATGTAAAAATTATAGGGAGTTTAAAAGGTTGACAAAAAAAAAAAATTACTTAGGGCTGGAGAGATGGCGAAGTGGTTAAAAGCACTGGCTACTCTTGCAGAGGACCCAAGTTCAATTCCCATCATCCACATGGTGGCTAGCAATCATCTGTAACTCCAGCTCCAGGGGATCCAACACCCTCTTTCTGGCCTACACAGGCCCTGAACGCCATGTGTGCATGTACATACATACAGGTAATACACTCATACACACAAAATAATAGATAAAATATTTTAAAAATTCATTTAAGTGAACATTCAATTCATTAATTTTTTACCGAAACCAAAACATTACCTGCACTGTTCGAAGCTCTTCAGATATGGCCTCAAAAGCTTGTTCACTCATCTCAGGTGGAACTGGCTCATTTAATATATCATTATCTAACCTGAAAGAATTATGTGTGTGGAGAGAGCCAAAGCTCCCCACCTCAGGGCTTGATTTTGGTACTAGCCGAGAACGGAGTTGATAAGCCTTGGTTGGTGTGGCTATAATCTGCAGAACAAAGATTGTGGAAAGGAACATTAATACAAAGAGGTAAAAAATAGCATATGGAGAGATTTTTATGAACAGAGGAGATGAAATTCTATTCATCTGGGGCTGGGGAGACGGTTCAGCAGTTAAGAGCATTGGCTGCTCGTGTAGAGGACCTGAGTTCAGTTCCCAGCACCCACAGGGTGGCTAACAACCATCTGTAACTCTAGTTCTAGGGTACCCAATGCCTTCTTCTGACCTCTGCAGGCACTGCACAACACAGGTGCACTTATATATATGCAGGCAATAAATGAAATTTTTTTTTTTTTTTTGGTCTTTTTGAGACAGGGTCTCCCTGTTGTCCCACCTGTCCTGGAACTCACTATGTAGACCAGGCTGGCCTTGAACTCACAAAGATCCACCTGCCTCTGCCTCCCAAGTGCTGGGATTAAAGGTGTGCGCCACCACACCTGGCCTAATAATAAATATTTTTAAAAATTCTATTCATACTGGTGTATGTCTTTAATCCCAATACCAAGGAAGCAGAGGTAGGTGGAACTATGTGAGTTTGAGGCCAGCCTGATCTACATAGAGAGTTCCAGGCCAGTCAGACTACATAGTCTGACCCTGACTCAAAAGAACAGGGGGTGGGGGATGGGAGGAGAAGTGTCTTTGAGACACAATCTAGAAAATTACTAAATGGCAATTAGTCTATCAGTTCAATATAGTTCCAGGCAAAGTTCTAATATGGTTGGACCCAACTCACGTGCATTTGGGAACACAAATTAGACTTGGTAGGCCTTCTAAAATAATAATAATAATAA